TCTTTATCAACATGAAATTTATTTAACATTGTAAATTGTAATTGCATAATAGAAGCAAATATCAAGTTTAACTGTACAGTAATTTGTATAATTGAAATATTAATAAGCTGTAAGATAAAATTTGTCAAGTATTTACTGATAAATCAATTGCAACATCAAATATTTGTTATGCAATGTCAAAAAATGGTATTTATGTTTCCAGTTGTTGAGCCAGGAAAACCAGCATGGCATAAAATACAAGAGGAATTTGGTCCAGATGTGTTTTTGGATACTAAACATTTGGATAGAACGAAACTTGGAGATTTAATATTTAACGATGTGGAAAAGAGAAAAAAACTCAATGCTATAACGCATCCTGATATATACAAAGAAATATACTGGCAGACTATTAAGTACTTTTTACAAGGTCATCCGTTTATAGTTATGGATTTACCGTTGCTTTTTGAGACAGGACACATGTTGAACTACTTGTACAAAATTATAGTTGTAACATGGTACGTATGGATTTTAATTGGTACAATCACCAATGAGGTATTCTTAAAGAATGTGATAAAAATTTATATAATACACTCTGATTTAATTATTTGAAATTAATAAAGAAAGGAAAGAAAATTTGTAAAGTGAAAAAAAATCCGATCAAGGACACAGAGTACATAATGCATAAGAAAATGAATTAATCAAATTCTTAATTTCTTTCCTTTTCATCAAATAAAAAATTCTCATTGATTTTTTTATATGTGTATACAAAAGTCTGTACAAAGGTCTTTAACGTTTCTTTTTTTTCGATATCAATTGTTTTTTTTCAAAGTTATAAATCATCTAAATATTTTTAATTTTTTATTTCAACCAATTTCAAATACAACCAATTTGCTCCAGTTTCATTTTTAAAGAATTGTTCACAATTGATGGCCTTTAAAAGTATTATCAGTGTTTTAGCTAAAATAATATCTTGTATTCTAAGTTGAGAGAATATAAAAAAAAATTTTGTGATTTTTTTAAGTATTTATAAATTGATCCTCTATGATTTATGACTTTCAGTGAAGAAGATCTTCAACTACAACGATTAATGGAACGCACTGGATTTACAGAAGCTAAAGCAAAATTAAGAATAGCTGCGCAAATGTCTTTGGAAAAAAAAGCAGAGATGGCAAATTTTGTAATTGAGAATTCGGGCAGTGCAAGAGATACGAAGGAACAGACCGTGAAAGTAATTAATGTATTACGATCCTCCAAGCATCATTGGAAATTGCGTCTTTTAGTTGGGTTTTGTTGTACTGTACTATTAGCTGGTGCATATTGGTTAAAGAACAGAAGTTCGAAATCTCTATCTACCGCAACATGAAATTTTCTATCAAAATTATTTAGTTCAAAAACAAATGTTATGTGTAAATCGTAGTCACATAATAAAACCAAGTGTGATTTTTGTTAACTTTTACAACAGCATTCGCAAAAATGAAATTTTCATAAAACATAATTAATTATTAAGACGAAAATTAAGTCGTCTATCTTAATGTATACATTTATGCGGATTGCAATTACATTTGTTGAATGAATCATTTAGCAGAGAAAGCAACTTTGCAACTATTGTAAGATTCTTTAATATGATTGATTTTGCCCTTATTTTCTCTCTCAATGGATCTAAATATATAAATCAATCATGTTGCAGAATTTTATTACAATTACTAAATTGCTTTCTCTGTTGAATGTAGCCATTATGTTGTGTAATAAATTTAATTTTTTTTATTTTATAGAAAAAAAGATTTCTATACAAGTATACTATGATGCACAGGCTGCAATTATATTTTGTTACAAATAATTGCTTTTGTATAAAATAATTTAATTGCAACATAATAGAGCTAACGATAAAGGGATATGTAAAGAATTTTGTGTACGTAAACGGAACACATAATGTGTGTTATGTATGTATATTTTATGCAATAAAAAATCTATATTGTAGAGTATATAAGCCAGAGCTTGATAGAATAAAAGAAACATAAAACAAATAGCAAATTCGATTGGATGCACGCAGTACGCACTAGTGTACGTTAAAGCTGTCGTACACAAAATAACTTAAAGATATGTTTATACATAATATAGAAATCGATTAATCTTGAGATATTCATACATTTTATTGTACTATTTGATAAAATATGTATTTTATAATTCGAAATATTTGCATTTCACTTTTATTCTTCAAGTGCCATATACTATCTCAGCGCCTCCCTCTCATATATCTTTGTGCGCATTAATTATACACAACGTATATGAGGGGACCTACAGTTCAAACGCTGATTCCAAACGGCAAATTTTTAGTAGGGAGGATTCATGAAAGTATACTACTCGGTTTGCCATTGCCTTCCGAGAGGAGCTACAAGTGTAAAATAAAATAAAAATTTTTCGGTTCTACCGAGGATCGAACCCGGGATCTTTAGCATCAGATCAGTGCGCTGTCTGCTACACTACACTCTTCATTCTTATACTTAAATTAAATCAGTGTACAACGGTTTTAATATTTTTATATATCAGTGCGCATTATATATAGTGCTTCCAATCGAATTCGCTAAAAGAGATACCTAATGAACACTCGATCAAAGTTTTAATTGTTGTGATGACGATTAGTCATCACAAGGTATTTTTTTATCGTCTATAAAAATGCGATTGTAAATGAATTGTGTAATTAACAATGCATTTATCAAACTAGATGCAAACAGTTATGTAATGATAAATGTAAATAAAAAACGGGTAATATGTTAGACTTTTCTCTAAGATAGCATCTTTAAAAAATTTTTTTATTTAATCGATAATGAAAAACTGAAATTTACAACAACTTTGTTGCACATAGATGTCTCGCGTTCGCAAGTATTTGAGGATAAAAATCACGTTCATCTTTTCTTCTTTTTTAATAAAGTGCTTTTAACATAAATTTATACGTAAGATTATACATTTGTATGCATATATAAAATACGCGAGTACATAGTGCTCAATTTCTTATGTTAACTATCGCAAAATATATACAAATGTCGAGTCGTGATTAACAACATGATTTAAAATCAGATGCACCCATTTGATGTACAACGCACTTCTTTACACACTGTAATTTCTTGTAATATTATGTGTAATTTATACATTTATGTTGATATAAATGTAAATTAAAATTACTTAATCATTCTAATAAAAAGCTGCTTGTTTAAGTAAATTATAGAAATTGGCAAAGAATTCCATAAGTACTTAATTAAAATATTATTTAATGGAAATATATATATATATATATATATATATATATATATAAAACCAATTTTCTTAATTAAAGTAGAAGTACAAAATTATTCTCGGTAAATAAAGGGGCAATGGAATATGTTATGTACAATATCCCATACGGAATAGTAAGATTGTGTAAATCTGAACCAATAAAGCACGAACCTTTTCTCTATATTAGATATCTTTTTTTTAAATATATTACATTTATATTCTTTCTTCTAAATTTCTTTGTACTTACGTTAACATATTATATAAGAGATATCCCTTAATTATATTCCTTCATTTTACAATTTTTTTTGTTGGTGCTCTTATCTGCCTGTTACTATTCTCCAATTTATCTTTACACAGAGATGAGATTAATATGAATATATACTACACATGATATATATAAAACGCAAATAAAAAAGAAAAGAGTTAAAGGAACATAATGTCATGACGTAATATCTAATAATTATAGATTGTCATTCTTGTTATTCTACAATTATACACACTGTGAACATATATAACTGTCGATCGACGATTGTTATTGCATAATTGTTATTATCATATATTCTTATCGCGCTATTCACAGAGAAAAAGTAATTATATTTTACATATTCGAACACACACGAAGAGATGAAAGAAAAATGATATTATAATCAAATAATAATTAAAATTAAACAATTGTTTTCTTTATGATTCAATTTTTGCACAAATTAATAGAATGTAAAAAGATTTGGAGAGATGATAAATATTACATCAATACAAATGTATCTATTTACTACGGTGATACACTGCATCATCCCACAGCCGCTGGTTTCTATCTTCTGTGTGTACTTTCAAGTGTACTTGTAAGGGAAGTACAATTTCACATAGAGGAAGATGGATGCACATTATGATCCTTGATTCGCCTACATAGCCGAGTAGGTATGTATATATAGATTATCCTTTATCAGAAATAAAAGTTTTTCCTATTCTCATGATGCATTTATTGCAAGACAGGCCTAAGTTCTTGCGTCATAATAGGATAAGAGACGAGAGGCGCGGTCGCGCCAGATATCGACAAGGGTAAACTGGCGGGTTGTTGCGTGTTCGGTGGTTGTTGATTAGTTGCCTGAGGAGGCCCGGAGCCACTCATCGAGATAGTTTGTTGAGCCATGGTGACGATCGGTGGTGGTATCGAAACTGGTGCCATAGAAACCGCAGCGATAGAGACGGGTGCTACGGTCGCGATGCTTACAGGAACGGTAGCCACGCTAGCGGTGACTGTTCGGAGAGTACCCGCTGCCACGGCTGCGTTAACCATTTGTTGAGGTGTCGGAGCTTGCGATGGCGGAACCGTATTCGTAATCGTGACTGCCGGGACCGTTACAGCCGTTACATTCGCGGTTCGCTTGCCCGACATCCTCAACTGGGCATTTTGGTCCAACAGAAACTCATTCGTCGCTGTCAAGTCGCTAACCTGGAGCAAGATAAAGCATATACACAGTTAGAAACAAAATCAATATTTCAGATGTATTTGTCTTTTCTTTTTTTTTTCTCTGACATACCTGCTTCTTTAACTCTTCTATCTTCTTTCTCAACAGTGCATTCTCATCCTCCAGTACAATGGCTCGTGCTTCATTACGCGGTATCACGGGATAATAATAACTTGGCGTGACTGTCGGTTGAGTCGTGTGTTGCTGACCTACGATTGGAGAGGCTTCGAAGTGTACGACTGCTTCGCCCGATACTAATCGCCTCTTCGGCTCCGGCGGTCCGATGTAATCGGTTGGATGCGACGTGTTGTAACCGCCGTTGTTAGCGATCAAATTGTTATGATGATCCTGCAGTTGCCAGTGAAAGCTGCCATTCATGAAGTAAAGAGAAAAGAGACAAAATTATTACGATGTTATAAGTTTCTACATAAGAGAAAAAAATCTATAGACTCAATTATGATGCTTACTTTCTATCTTCTTCATATCTGCGTCCATCGCCACCGACACCACCGCCGTTGCTAGTGCCGTTGAAGTTGTGTTGCGGCCTAGACGCGTTATGAAGCGACGGCGACATTAGATTATGCTGCGGTTCTTCCTTTTTCATATGCCTGAACTTGCAATTCATCCTTTGGCAGCTGCCCTTCAAAAAATCCTTGCAAAACGGATCCGACTTGTCATTGCTGCAGATCTTGGATCGATTGAGGACGTGAGGCGGCAGTTCACCGGTTGCCCTGAAACGCTTCTCCTCGCTCTCCGTGCAATGCAGGAACTTGCAGCCTGGCCAGCTACACTTGCCATTCTGGAAGTCATGGCAAAAGGTATATTCCTCCACGGGATCGTCCTCGGAACGCTCATGAAGGTACTTGCAACGCTTTCCACGGTGACAGACATTTCTCAGAAAGTCTCGACAAATCCGACTAGTGGGATCGGTGCTATCAGTCGCATTCAATCCGCCCGCCATCCCGATCGCCTGTTGATGCCCCGTTGATGTCCCTGATGTTTCGCTGCTTTCCAATTTTACCTTCAATTTTTTCATCACATTTCACCACAGGTGGCACATCGCACGTAGCGATCGCACGTCGGTGAGATTATCGTTGTACTCTTGATTGATCGACGAACTGGCTGAGCGTGGCTAATATGCGCGTCCCTGAATAAAAAAAAAAAGACATGATGGATTAAAGGCGTATAACGATATTATTAGCGTCCAGGAAGGAAACTTGTATGACGTTAAATACGACGTACTTGTGATAAATCAGTGATTTAAAATCTCATATATTACTCATATTTTATTTTTTAATTTTTACAGACTGAAATATAGATGTGGAATGGGTGTTGAGAGTACAAGAAGCTTGCCACAATCCTCTTTAATTAATTAAGTTAGTTTTTATTTCCCCTTTTCGTATAATGACTATTACATCGGTAGTAAGATTATATCAACATTATTATGTACAGCATTTTTTTTTTATTTATCATATGTACTTTGATAATTTGATATATACGCTTGATCTGCCAAGAAAGTGAGCTCGCCTAAACGAGCGACCGGCTTGCGGCGTTAACTTTTTTGGAAAATGTCACGTACACTCTAGTTCGCCGCGACACACAATGATCCGTTATCTATTGCGGTATAGTAGACATGGCACTCTCTAAACTAAACTAACGAATTAAGAAAATACTGTCAATTTCCCATTATGTTTCGTATCAAAAGAATTAATATAGAAAACTACGATTATATTGGATCTTCTCGCTTTAAGACGTTATTTAGACGATATCAAGGCCATTCCAAGGTAGGATCGATAGAACGGTTACTAAGTGCTGAGAAACTCACTTTCGAGAAGTAAATACATACGTATCCGCTTATTAGTTCATTTAGGTCGCTCAAACAGATATGCTCTTGTGTGTCTATTGTCATGCTACCCAAATATTTATACGTACGAAAGAAAGAAAATTAAAATATTATTGTGCAACAAAGTTGGAGGGCCCAAGATTCGCCGCAAGACTAAAATCAAATTTTTGCTTGACAATGATGGATTTATGATCAGAAAAAAGACGCGAGATTAATGCAATATATATATAATATATGCATGCTAATGTATACGTAAACGCAACAATCAATCCTCTCTCTCTCTCTCTCTCTCTCTCTCTCTCTCTCTCTCTCTCTCTCTCTC